CTCCTCTTCCTCATCCTCACGGTCGGACACTACGCCGTCATCTGGTCCATCTACCTGGAGAAGCAGCTGGTGAGACAGCCAATCAGCACACAGCACCTGTCAGTCAGTGAGAGAGCCAATCAGCACGCAGCACCTGTCAGTCAGTAGAACCCCGATGACCCTGGTCATGTGATCTGCGTGTTTTCAGGACGAGCTGCTGAGTAAAAAGAAGAAAGAGAAGAAGAAGAAAGTGAGCTCCAGACCTGCAGAAGACCTCAGGTGTATCGGTCAGGACAGGTGAGGCTCTGACATCATCACACTTCCTGTTTTTAGATGGTTTTTTTAACGTCGTCGTTTTTTTCAGGGTTCTTCCGGACCGACCGCACTGGCACGACATCCTCCCCCTGAAACTGACCATCTGGATCTACCTGTCCGTCAAGAACCTGCCCGCCACCATACAGGTACGTCAAAAAGCCCGCCCACACTGGACAGGTGAGTTACCTGTGAGGTCAGTGCCCAACGTCCCCGAACCTGAACCAGGTCTGACTATCAAATCCGGCCGTTTGAAGTCTCCTCTTAAAGGGTCTTTGATGAGGTCTGGATCCACCTGGTGGTCTTCTGAAGAACCCTGAACAGGAACTTACCTGGATCACACACACCTGGCTGACATTGTTGAACCTCAAGCTCTGCGAATGTTCAGCGTTTGGAGAACCAGGATGGTTGGAGGTCCAGGTCCGGTCTCCAGTCATCCAGGATCTCTGTAACCTGGTCTCCAGTCCTGGTTCTGTAACCCGGTCTCTTTTGTCCTCTGGTGGTCCAGGAGGTGAAGCAGTACTATGAGGACTACCAGCAGCTGAAGCAGCAACAGAAAGAAGAAGCTGAAGCCGAACAGGAAGTTGTCACTAGTGAGTTTTGACCTGCTGACCCTCTCTCATGTGATTCCCCCTAACCCGGGATTTCCATCTCATCCAGAACGGCTCAGATCCAGAACGGCGGCAGTCCTCGCCATCCGCAAACTCCTACTGGATCCGTTTGTGAGGCAAATGTTGTGGCGGGTTACAAACGGCGGGAATCACGAGAAATCACAAGTGGATTCACGTTCAATCTCTCGATAACGAGTCGTCTCTCTAAAGACAGACACATAGACATATAAGCAGTAGATTGTGTCCTTCCAGAGGAGGAAATCTACTTCTAGACTTCTAGAATCAGCATCTCCTCATCCATGGTGTCATCGGGGTGAAATGGCGTCTAAAAACCTTTCACTTGTTCGTCTCCGCCCGTTTGCATGGTGTGAAATACGATCCTCCTGAAACACGGAGTGTTTTATTTTGAAAAGAAGTCGGATGTTTTATTTTGTGTCTGTGCCCGACTTCCTTTCCAGCACGGGTTCATCTGTGCTGAATTTATCCGCCATGCTCCGGCGTCCAGAAAAAATAGAACTCTTGTGATCAGCTGAGGAGTCCGGCGATCCTCAGAGGAACGGAAAGAAGTCGGTGTAAATTGACACGTTAACTTGAATGGTTACGATCAGCTACGATCGGAGGATACGACCTTTTAGGAGACGATCAGGATGAAGGTGGAGGTCGGGGGTCAGCCTCAAGTGCGATTCGATGTGAATCTGCGGGTTCTTGTGAGTTCTTGCGATTACCGCTGTCCATAACCCGCCACAAAATTCGCCTCACAAACGGATCTGGTAGGAATTGGCTGATGGCGAGAATTCACCGCCGTTTCGAATCGGAGCCGTTCAGGATGTGGTTGAAATCCCGGGGTAGAATTTCCTGTAATGGTCATGTGATCCTGGTTTGACCCGATGTTTCGTTCAGAGGAGAAGCGGCCGAGGGCGAAGAAGCCGAAGGTCGAGTTTCCTGTTTACGATCCGTCCGAGGAGAACTTTCAGAACTACGACCAGACCACGTCCATCGAGGAGATCGAGGACCAGATGGACGACTGGCTGCAGGAGAGCCGGGCGAGCAAGAAGAAGGTGAGAGAGACCGGGGGCGGGCGGCGCCCTTTGATTGACAGTTTCATGATCAAGTCGACAGACGGGTGAAAAAGAGTTACCTGATGACTGTAAGTGTGTGTGTGTGTGTGTGTGTGTGTGTGTGTGTGTGTGTGTGTGTGTGTGTGTGTGTGTGTGTGTGTCCTCAGGCTGCTGACTGGTTGGAGGAGGAGCTTAGCCTCCTCAGCAGGTTGATGGTTAAATTCCCTGGAGGAACTCCGGGTCGCTGGGAGAAGATTGCCCAGGAGCTGGGTCGCTCAGTGTCTGAGGTAAACCGGTTTAGACCAGCTGGTTCCTCCTGGTCAGCAGATGTTCCTCATGATTTAGAGGTTCTGAAGGTCTGGATCAGGTTCTCCTTCGTGTCTCATTAAAGCTCCTTTAGATCAAGAACGACTGTGTTTACATCAGACTCTGATCTTCATGTTTTCATGAGGAACATCTGAAACATCTGCTGAAACACTCCATCTGTGTCCTCTACAGGTGACGGCCAAGGTCAAACAGGTGAAGGACAACGTGAACCAGAACTCAGGTACTCAGACTCTCATCCTCCTGATCCACCCTGATCCTTCAGGATGAGGGTCCACTTCAGAGATAGACCTTCAGAAACAGGTTCTTTGGTCAGGACCAGGTTCTCCTTCCATTGTCAGGATGAGGTTCTCTGAGATCCTCCTGTAATTTAGGGTCAGGTCGGACTGTGAGGATCAGGTTCTTCGAGGTTCCAGGATTAGATCTCTGAGGTTCCTCTTCGATCTTCAGGACCAGGTTCTTGAAAGAACTTCAAGATGAGTTTATTTCTCATGTTTGAGTTAAACCGGGTCAACGATGTAAAAAAACGTCCTGGATGAGAAGATCGTTCGACTCAGAGGAGAACCGATGAGAACTGAGAGGAACACGGAAAAAATGAGAAACGAACAGACGAATAAAAATCAAATATTTACAGAGAGAACGAGGGAGAACGAGGGAGGAGAGAGAGAGAGAGAGAGAGAGAGAACGAGGGAGGAGAGAGAGGGAGAGAGAGAGAGAGAGGGAGAGAGAGGGAGAGAGAGAGAGAGAGAGAGAGAGAGAGAGAGAGAGAGAGAGAGAGAGAGAGAGAGAGAGAGAGAGAGAGAGGAGAGAGAGAGAGAGAGAGAGAGAGAGAGAGAGAGAGAGGGAGAGAGAGGGAGAGAGAGAGAGAGAAGAGAGGGAGAGAGGGAGAGAGAGAGAGAGAGAGAGAGAGAGACGAGGGAGGAGACAGAGAGAGAGATAGAGAGAAGAGAGGGAGAGAACGAGAGAGAACGAGGGAGGAGAGAGAGAACGAGGAAGGGGAGAGAGAGAGAGAGAGAGACGAGGGAGGGAGACAGAGAGAGAGAGAGAGAGAGAGAGAGAGGGAGAGAGCGAGAGAGAACGAGGGAGGAGAGAGAGAGAGAGAGAGAGAACGAGGGAGGAGAGAGAGAACGAGGAAGGGGAGAGAGAGAGAGAGAGACGAGGGAGGAGAGAGAGAACGAGGGAGGAGAGAGAGAGAGAGAGAGAGAGAGAGAGAGAGAGAACGAGGGAGAGAGAGGGAGAGAGAGAGAGGGAGAGAGAGAGAGAGAGAGAGAGAGACTAGGGAGGGGGGAGAGAGAGAGAGAGGGAGAGAGAGAGAGAGAGAGAGAGAGACGAGGGAGGAGAGAGAGAGAGAGAGAGAGAGAGAGAGAGAGAGAGAGAGGGAGAGAGAGAACGAGGGAGGAGAGAGAGGGAGAGAGAGAGAGAGAGAGAGAGAGAGAAGAGAGGGAGGAGAGAGAGAACGAGGAAGGGGGAGAGAGAGAGAGAGAGAGAGAGAGAGAAGAGAGGGAGAGAACGAGAGAGAACGAGGGAGGAGAGAGAGAGAGAGGAGAGAGAGAACGAGAGAGAGAGAGAGAGAGAGAACGAGGGAGAGAGAGAGAGAGAGAGAGAGAGGGAGAGAGAGGGAGAGAGAGAGAGAGAAGAGAGGGAGAGAACGAGGGAGGAGAGAGAGAACGAGGAAGGGGAGAGAGAGAGAGAGAGAGACGAGGGAGGAGACAGAGAGAGAGAGAGAGAGAGAAGAGAGGGAGGAGAGAGAGAACGAGGAAGGGGAGAGAGAGAGAGAGAGACGAGGGAGGAGAGAGAGAACGAGGGAGGAGAGAGAGAGAGAGAGAGAGAGAGAGAGAGAGAGGGAGAGAGAGAGAGAGAGAACGAGGGAGGAGACGAGAGAGAGAGAACGAGGGAGGAGAGAGAAGGAGAGAGGGAGAGAGAGAGAGACGAGGGAGGAGAGAGAACGAGAGAGGAGAGAGAGAGAGAGAGAGACGAGGGAGGAGACAGAGAGAGAGAGAGAGAGAGAGAGAGAGACGAGGGAGGAGAGAGAACGAGAGAGGAGAGAGAACGAGAGAGAGAGAGAGAGAGAATGAGACGGAGGATAAAACAGAAGAGAAATGAGGGATGAGGATCATCATCAGATTATCAGATATTCTACTTTTTTAAACATGATCAATAATGATGGACGAATATCTGAACATCACAGATGATTCTGGAAATGAACGCGGTCAGAACTAGTGCTGCAACTAACCATTATTTGTTTGTCGACTAGTCGTCCGATTAATCACGATCAATCACGATCTTCTTTATTTATAAACGCCTCTTTCCGGGGTGTCGTCGGCGTTTCAGGTGCTCATGCATCGCCGTGGTGCCGCCATGGTAGGACAGCTGAGCTTTGATCGACGTGTTTTTTTGGTTTGTTCTCCGTAAAATGTTCCCAAACTTTTGAAGTTTTGGGTCGGGGTTTTGGAGCGTCTTCTTCAGTTTGTTCTGCCATAATGTGTGCACTCTTCTTCTGCGTTTGCCCGCGGGATGTAAACAGCGAGCGTTACTGCCCCCAGCACATCCTGTAGTGAACTGCAGTGATAGATGAGCGTGAGGCGCCGGCGTGTGATTCTTAACAACAATAACACGACGCGTCGACGCTTCGTTTTCGTGTCGATGAATTTGTCGTGTCGACGTAATCGATTACGTCGACTAATCGTTGCAGCCCTAGTCAGAACCAGGTTCTTAAGTCAGGACCTGGTTCTTAACTCGTGACCCGGTTCTGTAGGTCCCGGTTCTGCAGGTTCTGATGACCTCTGTGTGTTTTCTTGGACCAGGTCTGGTTAAACTCTCAGAGTTAAAAGGACCGCCTCCTCCTGTGAGGTCACTTCCTGTCCCCGAGGGCGTGATGACACAGAAAGAGGGCGGAGCCTGTGTGGAGGAGCAGGTGGAGGGGGAGGAGTCAGCCGCTTCAGTCCGGAGGCGGATCAGGAAACCAGCAGCCGAAGGTGGTGAGGCAAAGGGCAGAGGTCGCCGTCAGCGAGATTTTGACCCCACAGCGGCGTTGGAGGAAGAGGAGGAGGGGGCGGGGCCTCAGGATCAGGTCAAGGCTGAACCCGCCTGGACTCAGAACCAACAGAAACTTCTGGAACTGGCTCTGCAACAGTTCCCCCGAGGAACCGCCGAACGCTGGGACCGCATCGCCAAGGTGGTCCCCGGGAAGTCCAAGGTAAGAAAGACCCCCCCCCTTCAGGTTAGACCGGAACCAGGACCAGGACCAGAACCAGAACCAGGACCAGGAGGATTTATTGATTAATGAAAAAAGAAGTTTTTAATAATGACATCATCACCAAGGACAAACCGATCAATACATCAACATGTCTGCAGCAACATCATTGATCAATACACCGATCAGCTGATCGTCTGACTGATCCATCTGTTGATTGATTATTAAAGGGTTGATTAAAGTATCGATTTAGTGATTGATTGACCCCCGCAGGGTTCTCTGGATGTATTGATGGGTGTATTGATGTATTGATCAGTGTATTGATGACCTCGGTCCCTCTCTTCCAGGAGGAGTGTATGATCCGGTATAAGATGCTCGCAGAGTTGGTTCAGAAGAGGAAACAGGCGAAGAGCTGATGAAGCGTGCTGATTGGTTAATCATTGAACAGGTAAAGACCAGGTGACCCGTGGTCAGTGTTTGAACACCTGTCCAGGTGAGGTGCCTCCTGATTGGACACTGATGATATTTTTGTATTTGTGTGACTCAGAGTCTCACCTGATCAGGTGTGTTTTTAAAACAAAGGAAGCAGTAACCTGACCTCTGACCTTCCAGCTTCATGTGCCTTAGCTCCGCCCAGCATGCTGTCAATCACCTCTATTCAACTGATCAATAAAGTATTTATTAAACAGTTTGTTTTCCATGAGTCCAATTATTATCATCATAATATTTATTATTATTGACATTATTTTTATCATAATTAATAAACCTAATGACGTCATTATTATTGTTTTAAAGTATTATATAGATTTTTGTTTGAGTTGGTTTTATTGAGCCGTTCTAATTCTCAGTATTGATCCCTGATAATAACGCTCAGCTGAAGGGGGATAACACTGCAGGACTTACTTTGGCCAACAGGAGGCGACTATGAGAACAGTCGTCAGTTAAACGTCACCACCACAGAAGAAGAAGAAGAGAAAGACGTTTGGTCGAGTCTACTGCCAACGAAGCAGAAGAAGAACTAGCATTAGCATTAGCATTAGCTTTAGCAGGTTCTGGTTCCTGAAGGATCACTGAAGTCCATTCTTCACAGCTTCGTAAGTTCATTTTCATCATAAAAGGTTTTCAGTATTTTAACGGTTTCTTAATTACAGACTGTCACAGGGTACGAACAGTGTTAGCACTAGAGCTAATAGGCTAACAGCTGTGTGTCAGACCAAACCCCGTTCATTTAAAAGCTGATTTTACAGTCGGCTCAGACTGCTGCTTCAGAAACAGAAAGAGTTTAACTGTCTGATATTATAGCTGATAGACTCTAATTCAGCTAAGAAATAAACCAAACCCCGTTCATTAAAGTGCTGATTTAAGTTAATTCTATCTGTGATTGGGGTCAAAGTCTGAAACTAACCTCTTCATCAGATAAAACATTCATTCAACTCTTCATTACATTATTATTACACTGTTTTTATGCTCTCTCTCTCTCTCTCTCTCTCTCTCTCTCTCTCTCTCTCTCTCTCACTTTCTGACCCCCCCAACAACACACACACACACACACACACACACACAGGTGTGATGCAGTCATGTCCCTGAAGGTGGCGTTGCAGCAGAGGATCACCTCTGCTCAGTCGTTACTGCAGAGGGCCGAGAAGTTGTGTCGTGGGGTCGAGGGTCACCAGAAGCTTTGTGGGAAATTGAGGGCGGAGCTGCGCTTCCTGCGGCGGGTGGAGGCGGGGCAGCTGCAGGTGAAGGAGTCTCACCTGCACAGCACCAACTTGACTCACCTGACGGCGATCGTGGAGTCAGCCGAGAGTCTGGAGGGCGTGATCGCCCTGCTGCACGTCTTCACCTATCAGGACGCCGCAGGGTGCCGGCAGACGCTGGTGGTGGATGTGGTGGCGAACGGCGGACACACCTGGGTGAAGGCGGTGGGCAGGAAGGCGGAGGCACTGCACAACATCTGGCAGGGGCGGGGCCAATATGGCGATAAAAGCATCATCAGTCAGGCGGAGGACTTCCTGCAGGCCAGCCGCCAGCAGCCGCTCGAGTACCGAAACCCCACCGTCATCTTCGCCTTCTACAACGGAGTTTCCTGCCCCATGGCGCAGCACCTGGAGGCCATGGGGGTCTGCGTACGCGGGGACATCGTGGCTGTCAACTCCTTGGTGACTGAGGAGGAGGAGGAGGAGGAAGAGGAAGAGGAGGAGGAGCCTACTGAAGATGACGAGGAGGGGGAGGAGTCAGAGCTGACCCGGGTGGAACGCGGCGCTGTGGTGGCCAGTCTGGCGTTTCCAGCTCAGGTTCAAGTGGAGGAGTGTCGCCGCGTTAACCTGGACATCACCACGCTTATCACCTACGTGTCGTCGCTGAGTCACGGCCGCTGTCACTTCACCTTCAGGGAGGTGGTGCTGACGGAGCAGGCCGCTCAGGAGCGCCACCAGCAGGTGCTGCCGCAGCTGGACGCCTTCATGGAAGGAAAGGAGCTGTTCGCCTGCCGTGCCGCCGTCCATGACTTCCAGGTCATCCTGGACACGTTGGGCGGGCCTGGTGAGAAGGAGCGCGCTCAGAAGCTGCTAGCCCGCCTGCAGGTGGTCGACGACCATCCGTCCGAGCGCACGCACCGCCTCAAGCCCAGCGCCAAAGTCAATCGCCGCTCTCTCATGATCTTCGGCACTGGAGACTCTCTAAGAGCCGTTACCATGACAGCAAACAGCCGCTTCGTCAGGGCGGCGGCCAATCAGGGTGTCAGGTACAGCGTGTTCATCCACCAACCCCGAGCTCTGACTGAAGGCAAAGAATGGCGGGCCACGCCCATCTGACCAATGTCAGCTAATGTCAGACAAGTGTAAATAAAAGAAGTGTAAATAAAGTTTCAGTTTATGGAAACGCCATCAGCTGGTCGACCAGTAACTCTGTCACTTCCTGCTGCGCTGTCATTTGTTCCTGCAGGTCACATGATGTCACACAGGTGACCCTCTGACAGGTGATCGATTCTTTCATTTGTTGATTGGTGATTATCAATATTTGACCCTTTAAACAGGAAGCTCTGTCCTCTTTGGTTTTTCACAATAAAATGTTTTTGTCAGAAACAGTAAAATCATGACGATCGAAGCGTCTGAGATCTCCGAACTTCATCTTTACTTTAAAAAGTGTTTAATTTGTTTTTAGTCTCTATGACCTTCAAATAACCTTCACAGTTTAATAAAGAAATTCAGAATATAAATATAAACGTGTTTTTGGACTTAAAGAAAGTCAAACGTTAGTATTTGAAGATGTTAGAGCAGAAAATATGAGAAATAAACAGTTAAATTCAGATTAGAAACAGTCTGATCAGATTAAAATGATCAGATTAAGGAGGAGCCTCAGTGATTGGTCACCTGTCCCCGACTCTGGATCCATCAGAACCATGTGGTGAGGTCTGAAACTGGTCAGTAGAGGGCGTAGTGTGGTGGGTCTGTGTCCTGAGAGTCTGAAGCTGCGTCCGAATTGCCAAGTAGTAGTCGAAGTAGTATGTAGCATGTCCGAATTGGCCACCGGAGCGAGTAGCATGCTACTTCAGATACTACTTCAGATGCTAGACACGCCCACATTGTAGGTTGGTCTCGGTGCATCCTACGGGCATGCTACTGACCCAAAATGCACCGCGGGCTTCTTCTTCGTCCTCTTAAAAGTTGTAGAAGCGCATGTGATGCTAGCGCCACCAGCTGCTCTGCCTATTTAAATGTGTCGCGAACGCCGGCTGACCACAGCAGCGCGCACCATGTCGGAGCAGCAGCAGGCGGGACCGCAGCAGTACAGATGTAAGTTTCATGTAACTTCACACACTGTCCTAAAAAATGTGCGGTTGTATCTCTTTGTCATGTCATGGTGTCATATTTGCAGTAAGTAATCATTTTATGAGCAAATATGTGGCGACATCATGGAGGTAAAGCTCACTTATTCCATCATTAAACTGCACAGCTGCAGTACTACAGCCAGGCCCGCAGATGAGGGGCTTCAGTTACCACTGTCTGCACGGGCGCAGTACCTACTGTCTGCCTGCGGGGGTCGTCTTTCCCCACCGCTCGTCTAGTGTGTCCGAATTGGGCCAACAATTTTAGTATGTAGGAGTAGGATCTAGCAGTAGCACGTAGCATGTAGTATCCGAGCGGGCAGTTCGGACGCAGCACGAGAGTCCATCCATAGACTGTATAAACTACAGACAACTTGGCTGTGATGACCCTCGGCTCAAACAGCGTATCCCCCGATGATCTACTCAATCTCTGTCCTCCCATTGGCTGTATCAGGTGTCAATCATAGAAAACATGAACCCCTTAATAACTTTTAAAAATGGAGCTGTACAGAAAAAAGAGGACTTGAGCACAAACCAGTCTGACAGTAACTACATGTCAACATCACAACCAGGGGGGAGAAACATTTATATTCTGTGTCATTCATTTATAAAGTTTGTCCACAGCTCCATAAGGAGGCGGGGTTTAGGACCTATACTGCAGCCCGTCACCAGAGGGCGCTGTTCTCACAGAGGAGGCAGACTCTGTCCAATCTTTATACAGTCTATGAGTCCATCTTTATAACAGCAGAACCGGATCAGGACCAGATCTTTGTAATATTTCATGTTTTCACATGGAGAGCAAAGTCAACAAATCTGGTTCTGATTCTGATTCTGGTTCTTCTGATTAGATCTGATCAAACTTATTAATCCTCCTAATTTTTGTTTAAACTCAAAAACTCTGAAATCTACTTTAAACCGGAAACTTCTGCTCTCACATACACTGAAAAACGCCGCGTGTATAACTCGTGCTTTTATTGTGAAAGTCGGAGAGCGGAAGAGGGTGCTCCGTGGTTTAGTTCCGGTTAGCCTGTTAGCCTGTTAGCTGTTACCTGTCGGCGGCAGGTGGGTGATGTCGCGGGTCGGCAGTGAGGCGGAGCTGCGGACTCTAAAGGAGGTAAAAACAAGTTTATCAGAGATTGAAAATGAAACTTTATTACTAAACAAACAAAAAACAAAAACAACACACTGTGACCCCGAGCTCCTAACCTGCAAGGCTGGCACGAGACACCCGGTCACATACCTGAGGAGGTGTTAATGTCGCGAGCTAAAGGCTAAAAGGATAACAACAACAACAACAACAACAACAACTTAGCAAGAATAACAACAGAATGTCTCCTCCGTCCTTACATCCTCCCCTGTCTCCTCCTTCCTTACACCCCCCTCTGTCTCCTGTATCCTTACATCCTCCTCTGTCTCCTCAACCCCCCACCCCACCCCAGTGTGGTTACAGTTTTCCCGCCCAGACTCAGTCCGATCTTCGGACCGTTCGTTCGCTCTTCTCGGACCTTCGACTCTACGTGGATTTTTACTGTGAGTATCAGAATCTCCAGAGTTTCACTGAAACAGACAAACAGGAGAGTTCAGAGGAGGAGCTCCAGTGTTCGCAGCTCAGATCATCAATAATTCTGATGTTTGTGGTTTTTATCGGGATTCACGACGATTGTTGCTGATGTTTATTTGATTCTTGTTTTTCCGACATTTCTCACTCTCGGCTGTTTTTTGTTTGCAGGTTTTCCGAACAAAGAGAAGAAGAGGCTGCTGTACCTGGCTGGGACCCTTCCTGTTCAGTATGAAGGTGCGATCAGTTCTCCATCAGATTTCAGATCAGCTGACTCGTTTTATAAAAACTTAAAACACGGTCAAAGTCAGGATGAAGTTATACGGGTGAACCGAAGAGTTATGCTGCGTTCCAGTTGTACTCGATAGTCGGGATTTCCGAGCTCCGAATTGGAAATCCATCTGGAACGCCCCCGTGAAGTCAGATTTATGACTCAGAAAATCAGACGATCCTCGCCAACCCCGACTTGACAACAACGTCATTATCCAAGATGGCAGCGCAGTGCGTCAACAGTAAAGAGTGACAGTAAAAGCTCTCCTAATGTTTTATTTATTCGCACTTCTGTTTTTAAGAACTGAAGTGGTTTATGTTGTTCAGCCCGACGTCTAACAGTGAACACGGTGCTGTGCTGTTTGAAAATACTGTGGTATGTGTTTGTTTACAACTGGTATAGCTAACAACAACTAACAACCGCTAACAACGATCGACAACGGCTAATGACAATTGTAAACAAAAGCTAACAACAGGTAACTGTAGGCATCCATCTTGCTTTTCCGACCTGTTTACTGGAACGCCGTCAACTTGGACGTAACGTCATTCCCAGCTCCGACATCAGACTTCCGAGGAAACTGGAACACAGGATAATTAAACAGAGCAAACAAACAAGATCAGTAACCATGGTAACTTGGAATAAAAGGGGTGGATTGATGGAACAGTCACAAGAAGGGTCAGCCACCAAAACCAGCCTGAGTGATGATGATGAAGATGAGGAAGATGATGAGGATGATGATGAGGATGATGAGGATGGTGATGATGAAGATGATGATGATGATGAAGATGATGATGATGATGAGGATGAGGAAGATGAGGATGAGGATGATGATGATGATGATGATGGTGATGATGATGATGATGATGATGATGATGATGGTGATGATGATGATGATGATGATGATGGTGATGATGATGATGATGAGGATGATGATGAGGATGAGGATGATGAGGATGATAATCATGATGAGGATGATGATGATGATGATGATGATGAGGATGAGGATGATGGTGATGATGAGGATGATGATGGTGATGATGATGATGATGATGATGTTCATCTCCATATCTGTAATAATTAATCTGTTCTCACCTTTGCTCATGCTTTTATTTTGACACTCTGGTTTCCTTTGTCAAACAGGAAGTGAGTATAACATCCCCGTCTGTATTTGGCTCCATGAGTCCCACCCTGCGTCCCGCCCTCGCTGCTACGTCTGTCCCTCCGTCTCCATGGTGATAAATCCCACCTGTCCTCATGTGGACGCCTCAGGAAACATCAGCCTGGACGCTCTGAGGAGCTGGACTCAGGTGAGCGTGTATTAGCAATCAGAAAATAACTGGGCCAATCAGTGACTGTGTTTCCACCGTTTCCCGGACAACAGGGAAAGGCAGCCCCTGATTGGTCCATGTGTAGATGGTGACGTCTAACACATGCTGCGGGACTTTTCAAAGCGCCGTTCATTCAGAACACCGTAAATTCTGCAGCTGACTTTGCGAAGTCGGCAGAAATCGTTTAGATCCGCAGAAGAAGACGTAGAAGACGTTGTTCGCTCGCACACGTTGAAATATTACCAAACCTTAACTTGATGCTGGAGAGCCCAGCAGGGAACATGGCTGCTCACTGTGATGACGTCAGATGTTTGGTTACAGTAGTCTGTCTATCAAGGAAAGTAATCCCGCCCACTTTCAGGGCTCCCAATTGGCCGAAGTCCAGACTGTTGTGAGAACGAACGGCAAGTGATTCACACAACTGGATGGCCCAGCCAGGCTAGTGAACTGGCTGGACTGGAAACCAGTCTGTACTTTACCTATCCCAGTGTGGACCATTAGCCAGAATAAGGTTTGGATCAGGGGACAGCTCCAGGACCTCCTCCAGGACCTCCTCCAGGACCTCCCGCCTCTATCAGACCTTCATTCAGAGGTCTGAACATCTCCACAGACACGCCCACTCTGAGGTCCATATATGGGAACTCAGCAGGAAGTGGGCGGAGTCAATAGATAGACAGATTCTTTATTAAAGAACCCCTTTTGTAAATCTGACCACAGCAGCAGACGGATGAGGGCGTGGTCATCCACCGCCATGGCGGACTGAAGAGGGTCGATGTGGACTAGGATGTCCTCTAGACTGAGCAGAGAGGTCTCACCTGGTGAGACCGGTCCTCACGGTGTCATCTGTTCTGGTCCTCTCAGGGCGGGTCCAACCTCTCACTGCTGGTGTCAGAGATGAGGCAGGCATTCCAAAAGACCACGCCCCTTTACGCTCGACATCCTGGACCAGCCCCGCCCACTGCAGGGGCTCAAACATCACCGTCAGCTGGAAGGTGAGAATCAGAACACCTGAGCAGGTACCTGGTTCTGGTTCTGGTTCTGGTTCAGAGTAAGAACATGAAAACAATCACTGAACTTCTGTTTCTCGTCCTGCAGACAGACGCCGTCCTCCTCCTCCTCCTCCTCCTCATTCCTCGTGTCTGGACTGACAGGTGACCTCTCAGTGATCATGTGACCACTGTCTGAGCAGAGCGTGTTAGCATACATACAGTGGTTGTCAGCGTGTTAGCATACATACAGTGGTAGTTAGCGTGTTAGCATACATACAGTGGTTGTCAGCATGTTAGCATTGTTGTTGTTCCTGATTGGTTGAAGCCTCTTCCTCTGTTGCAGCCGGCCAATCAGAGCAGAGTCGGCAGGTAAAGGTGAGGAGGTCGTACACGGAGGAGCTGCTCGGCATCGACTTTAGCGCTCCTCCTGTTTCAGCCGACGCCCACTTCATAAGCCCCGCCCACTCCTCAGGTGAGATTTTTCAAAGAACCAATGGCGTGATAGAACAGTGTGATTAGGCCACGCCTACAGGAAGAGTTCTGCAGGTGACTGTAGTCCTGAATAAAGTCCTGAATGAGGTTCTGGTTCTGATGGTTCTTCTGGAGTTCTTGGTTTTGTTCCTGGACCAGGTCTAGCCTCTGTGGACCCCCTCAGGGGGATGATGGGAACTCTCACCTTGGACTCCGACAGAAACCGTGTCAGCGGCACACCTGGACGGATGATCCAATCAGAGACCGCCTCACACAGAACTTCTGCAGGTCTTACTGATCCGGTACAGGGTTCTGAACCGAAGAACTTTCATCCAGACCAGGTCCAGGTGAGACCAGTTTGTGAGTCTCAGACACAGCTCTTTGTCCTGGTCTCAGCTGGACTCACTCTGTGCCCCCCCCCCCCCCGTAGATGGCGTCTCGTCTCCATGGAAACCAAAGGGCCCTGTTCCTGTCTCTGATGACGCTGAAGGGGCGGAGCTTCAGTCCAGACGACGTCCTGGAGGCGGTTCAGCTGAACCGGGACTTCCCTTCAGCTCTAAAGTTCCTGACTCACTGCTGCCCCCTCTGTCAGGACCAGGTGTCCTTCAGCAAGGTGAGTCTGAGCCAATCAGAGACCAGCTGAGTCTGAGCCAATCAGAGACCAGACAGTCATCACCTTCTTCTTCTCTGTGGACTTTTGTTGTAGACGTCACTCTGACTGTTTTTGATTGTTCGTCTTTATCCTCCTGCTGACTGTAAATACTGAGTACTATGGTAGTTCAGTCTGACTGTAAGTCGTCTGTTATTCTGTAGTTTGGTTGTCCTGGTTTAACTGGTTTAACTGGTTTAACTGGTTTCCAGTCCGTCATACTCTGGTAAATTACAGCGACACTCAGAGTTCTTCGTTTATTTACAAACAGAAAAAAATCTTTAATTTGATTTTTTCTGTTTTTTAGTCCAGAACCATCAGAACCTGTTCTGTCTCTGCGATGACTCGTCGATGATCCGGCGTCGTTTGATTCTCATCACGGCGCCGTAAACACAGCAGACGTTCAGACGGTCAAATATCGTCTGATTGAGTCCGACTGTTTTAACGTTTACTCGCCTTTCTGCGTTAAAGCTTCAGACCTCCTCTAATGTCAGCTGACTGTCCAGCTGTGCGATGGAAACATGGCTGATGGCGTGCGCTGTGTGTGGTCATCATCAGGCGTAGCTACAGAATAAAAGACGAGGAGAAGGTGGAGAATCAGGAGATAAAAACTGTCCGGTATGAAAACAAACGTTCTTGTCAGAAAGAAGAAGAAGAAGAAGAAGAAGGAGAAGGAGAAGAAGAAGAAGAAGAAGAAGAAGAAGGAGAAGAAGAAGAAGAAGAAGGAGAAGAAGAAGAAGAAGAAGGAGAAGAAGAAGAAGAAGAAGAAGGAGGAGAAGAAGAAGACGAAGAAGAAGAAGAAGGAGAATAAGAAGAAGAAGAAGGAGAAGAAGAAGAAGAAGAAGAAGAAGAAGAAGGAGAATAAGAAGAAGAAGAAGAAGAAGAAGGAGAAGGAGAAGAAGAAGAAGGAGAAGAAGAAGAAGAAGAAGAAGAAGAAGAAGAAGAAGAAGAAGAAGAAGAAGAAGAAGAAGAAGAAGAAGAAGAAGAAGAAGGAGAAGAAGACGAAGAAGAAGAAGAAGAAGAAGAAGAAGAAGACAGGCTGTCAGGAGGTCGAATCTTTTAGCCGTCCTCTTGAACGCTCCGCTCAAACGTTTCTCCGCTCTTCGCTATTCCACCATCTGCCCAGGCGCTTTGCATTGTGGGTAACAGTAGGTGAAGCAGACTGGTCTGATTTTTTTGGTCTCCTATTTTTGACAAACTGTAAACTTCACGTTTGTTCGCCTGCAGACTGGAAACTAAACTTAGAGGTAAATCAGGAAGAACTGTGAGGATAGGAGGAGGAAACGACCAATCAATCATCTTCCTTATACTTAACCCCTCCCCCCCCGTCCTCCTCTTCTTCTTCTCTGTCTGTATTTCCTGCAGATCGTCACCATGACTCACTGCTCCTGCTTCCTGTGTCAGGCGTGTTTTAAGAGGTTCTTCTCGGCGGCCATTAAAGAGAAGAGCGTCCATCAGCTGGTTTGTCCTCAGTGTGGCCGACCTGAGGTCAAAGGTCAGGGTGGGATGGAGGAGTCCATGGACTACTTTAACCTTCTGGACACACAGGTGAGACCTCTTTGGACCCGGATCAGAACAAGTCCAGACTACCAAAATACTGTTCCTCTATGTTCCTTTAAGCCCCGCCCCTCTAAGCCCCGCCCCCTGGCTCATGTCTGTTTGTTTCTGCAGATCCGTCACTTCCTGTCTCCTCAAATCCACGAACTCTTCCAGAGAAAACTCCGAGATCGAGCGCTGCAGGAAATGCCGAACTTCTGCTGGTGTGCACACGTAAGGACCTCAGATCTAGACCGGGACCTCAGGGTCTGGACCAGGACCTCAGGGTCTGGACCAGGACCACAGGGTCTGGACCAGGACCTCAGGGTCTGGACCAGGACCACAGGGTCTGGACCAGGACCTCAGGGTCTGGATCAGGACCTCAGGGTCTGGATCAGGACCTCAGGGTCTGGACCAGGACCTCAGGGTCTGGATCAGGACCACAGGGTCTGGATCAGGACTCGGGAGTCCAGATCAGAGCATCAGGTATAGATATTTAAAAAATATACATCTAACCCCAAACTATGTGTGTGTGTGTGTCTGTGTGTGTGTGTGTGTGTGTGTCTGTGTGTCTGTGTGTCTGTGTGTCTGTGTGTCTGTGTGTGTCTCTGTGTGTGTGTGTGTGTGTGTGTGTGTGTGTGTGTGTGTGTGTGTCTGTGTGTGTGTGTGTCTGTGTGTGTGTGTGTCTGTGTGTGTGTGTGTCTGTGTGTCTGTGTGTGTGTGTGTCTGTGTGTCTGTGTGTGTGTGTGTGTGTGTGTCTGTGTGTGTGTGTGTCTGTGTGTGTGTGTGTCTGTGTGTGTGTGTGTCTGTGTGTGTGTGTGTGTGTGTCTGTGTGTGTGTGTGTGTGTGTGTGTGTGTGTGTGTGTCTGTGTGTGTGTGTGTCTGTGTGTGTGTGTGTGTGTTTCAGTGTTCCTTCGGTTTTCTCCATGAAGCTCAGAGGTTGAGGATGGACTGTCCGAGCTGCAAGAAGAGCACCTGCAGTCAGTGTAGATCACCTGTAAGACACACACACACACACACACACACACACACACACACACACAGAGACACACACACACACACACAGAGACACACACACACACACACAGTCTCTAACACGTGTTATTCTGTATCTCTGTGTGTGTGTTTTGTGTCTCTGTGTGTGTGTGTGTATTTTCTCTGTGTGTGTGTGTGTGTTTTGTGTGTGTCTCTATGTGTGTGTGTGTGTGTATTTTCTCTGTGTGTGTGTGTGTGTTTTGTGTCTCTCTGTGTGTGTTTTGTGTGTGTCTCTGTGTGTGTGTGTGTTTTGTGTCTCTGTGTGTGTGTGTGTGTGTGTGTGTGTGTGTTTTGTGTCTCTGTGTGTGTATTTCCTCTGTGTGTGTGTGTTATTCTGTGTCTCTGTGTGTGTCTCTGTGTGTGTATTTTCTGTGTGTGTGTCTGTGTGTGTGTGTTTTGTCTCTGTGTGTATTTCCTCTGTGTGTGTTTTGTGTGTGTGTGTCTCTGTGTGTATTTCCTCTGTGTGTGTTTTGTGTGTGTGTGTCTCTGTGTGTGTGTGTGTGTGTCTCTGTGTGTGTATTTTCTGTGTGTGTGTCTGTGTGTGTCTCTGTGTGTATTTCCTCTGTGTGTGTGTCTGTGTGTGTCTCTGTGTGTGTATTTCCTCTGTGTGTGTGTTTTGTGTGTGTCTCTGTGTGTGTGTCTGTGTGTGTGTATTTTCTCTGTCTGTGTGTGTCTCTGTGTGTGTATTTTCTCTGTGTGTGTGTGTTTTGTGTCTCTGTGTGTGTTTTGTGTGTGTGTGTGTTGCAGTGGTCTCCTCAGCACCAGGGTCGGTCCTGTCAGCAGTTCAGATTCTTGCAGCTTCAGAACCAGCAGGACCAGAACCTCGCCCCCCCCTCTCCTGGCTACAACAGCATCGGTACGGGGACTACCAGAACCAGAACCAGAACCATTGGTAGATTCAGATCTAGAACCAGGGCTTAAACAAGGACCAGAACCAGAACCAGAGCTCGAACCCCCCCAAACTTCCTCTGAGTGTCGAATTATCGGATTTCTACGACCTTTTCTGTGGGTTTGTGTTTTTTCATCCTCTCTGTGATTGGTCGGTTCCTCGTTATTTTAACCATCTAAGAGGATCAATAATCTGATCTGAGAGGCCCCGCCCATTCTCACAGGAAACGTTTTTAAACTTTATCGACACCAAACTAAAGTGACGATCGTTTTTATCTCGTTAAATTTTCCCACGTTAGTTTAAATTTGTTTTTATCTTTGGAGTTAAAGTTTAAAGTTTCGACGACGTTTCGGAGAGAGACGTTATCTCATGAAGTTTTGGTTTCACTTTTGAACAGTCGACCTGAACATGAATCAGAAACAAACTCCTCCCCCTTTACTGCAGCGGCTCAATAATTTCATATTGACTCTTTACTTCCAGATTTTATTACATTTACAAATAAAAACAAAAGTGTTTTTTTTTTTTTTACGTCTCTGTCCTCGTCGCTCCTTTTCTCCGTCAAACTGTAACAAACATCATAAATGAACAGAAAGCATGATTGACAGCTGTCTGTTAGCGAAGATTTCTGATCGGACAAACGTTGACGGAGTTCCTGTGGTCGCCGCCGCAGGTCAAATATTACCGTAAATATCGGTTCAGTCGTGGTCACGACTCGGGTCGTTTCGTACCTTTGCGTATTTTTAGCGGATTTACGGCGTTTTCCTGCGACGACATCAGGACCAGAACTTTAGCTCAGGAGGTCCAGGTTCTGATGAGAGTCCAGAGATCTGATCTGATCAGTGTGTGTGTGTGTGTGTGTGTCCTCAGAGTGTCCTCGCTGTCTCTCCGTCTTCAGTCTGTCCAGAGGTGGATGTCTCCACTTCACCTGTTCTCAGTGTCTCCATCAGTTCTGTGGCGGCTGCAGTCAGACCTTCAGTCCAGGATCTGTGAGTCCACTTCTTCAGTCCCAACATGATCGGACTCACCTGGACTCACCTGGACTCACCTTCTTCTGTGTCCTCAGGTCTGCAGCTTCTCAGCCGACTGTAAGACCAAAGGTCTTCACGCCCACCACCCCCGAGACTGTCTGTACCACCTGAGGGACTGGACCGTGCCCCGCCTACACCTGCTGCTCCAGGTAAGAGCTCCTGACAGACTGCCCCGCCCCCTGACAGACTGCTCCGCCCCCTGACAGACTGCCCCACCCCTCCCCCTGACAGACCGCCCCGCCTCCTGACAGACTGCCCCACCTCCTGACAGACTGCCCCGCCTCCTGACAGACCGCCCCGCCCCCTGACAGACTGCCTCGCCTCCTCACAGACCGCCCCCTGACAGACTGCCCCACCTCCTGACAGACCGCCCCACCCCTCCCCCTGACAGACCGCCCCGCCCCCTGACAGACTGCCCCGCCCACACCTGCTGACTGCATGTTATCTCTCAGTATTACAGAGTCTCTCCCACATGGTTGGAACCGGCCAATAGCGGCTCACCTGGTGGCGGTCGGACAGGTGAGGGTTCCTCCTGCTCCTCAGGTAGACTCTGGCTCCGCCCACCTGTTTGACTGAAAGGTGGTGTATTTGCCTCCAGGTGTGTGTTTAGTTTTGGAGGTGAGAGATGATGGCAGCGAGGGGGAGGAGCCATGTGGACGCCCCGCCCCCCCAGAGTTCAGAGGTTACTGCCAGTAAGGCCGGTCTTATCTGTTCATCACCTTTTTACCTGTAAACCTGATTATGTGTTTGTTTATGAAGGCTCCGCCCCTCTGTTCTGATAGGTCGCACTATAAGGAGCGTTTGGTGGAGCTCATCAACCGTTGCCGTGGCGACCCAGCAGTCCTGTTCAGCGTGGCGGAGATGAAGGCGGAGCTTCAGCGCTGGCTCGTTGAGGTACCGACCCGAAAACCAGACGAACCGGAGCTGGCGTACACTCAGCGCCTCCTACTGGTCAGTGACATCACTGTTAACCCTCGGCTTCCTGTTCGGCTCCATCCGACCGTGTTTGTCCTCAAAGTGCAGATCGGCATAAAGACGATAAATCGTTCGAACTTTTTTAAACTTTTACTGCTTCAAATAAATAAATAATCAATAAATAAATCAATCAATAATCAATCAGTTGGATGTTTCGCCGTTTTTACGCCGGTTCTTCTCGTCAGACCTGAAGTCTATTAGAGCAGAAAAACACGCCGGCTTGACCTCCTCATCTCGACCCCTGACCTCCAGAGAAGGAGGACGATGTAAATTAACACTTGGACACACAGACACACACAGACACACACACACACACACACACACACACACATATGTGTGTGTGTGTGTGTGTCTGTGTGTGTGGAACAGTAAACTCTCGTGATCGAATGACTTTAAAAAAATGTTGGTAAATGTTGTTTTGGCGCCGTAAACCCTGACGTCACATTTCTGACAAACACGGCTGGACGGAGCGAAAACGAGTCGACAGATTTTGACGAGAAAATAAAAACTTTCAAAATAAAGGAGCTGAGGTTTAATAGACACATTTAATTTACTAGAAGGAGTTTTAATGTGAAAGACAGGAAGTGATGACTGTTATATTCTAGCCAATCACAGCACAGGATCCTTTCTGTCTCCTCAGACACTGACCAATAGCGTCCCTCTCAGAAAGCAGCGGCACTCACAGCTCAAACCCAACACTGACCTTTGCCCTCTGAGCACTCCCTTAACACCAGGAGCTCCGCCCCCTTACCTGCTGCTCAGGGACTAGCTCCGCCCCTCCGTACACGTCTGCCAATAGGAGGCGGCGTTCTGTAACTAACTCTAAAGGAGAGGGATGATGAGACCTGGACCACACCCCCTCAGTGACATCACATCAGGTGAGGCGACGGGTGTGACATCACAGGTTGGACCAATGGAAACTGACCAATCTAAACTGAGCTCTTTAGTCATGTGACTCGATCTGTGACAGTGTTGGTTCTAATCGGTGTCTCTGCTACCATGGTAACGACAAAAATAGAGCCAGCAGCCAATCAGAGCTCAGCGCTGACGTTAGCCTAAACAAGCTAATGATGCTAACCAGCCAGGTGTGTACCTGTTAGCATGTGTTAGCGTGTGTTAGCGTGTGTTAGCATGTGTTAGCGTTGTCTTCGCAGGTGAACTGAGTTTTTTTCGCACTTTAACACTTTAAATAAAAATATTTAATAAATCTGAAATGTTGTTTTCAGACCTTTGTTTCCATGACAACGCAGTGATTTAAAGACGTAAACATTTCTGTTCGGTTTGTAAATAAAGTTTAATCATGAAAAAAATTTTACAAACTACAAACTCAAAGTTCCCATGATGCACTACAGCTGGTCACTCTGTGGGGGGCGGGGCGTCGTCTCTCGGAGGACTGAAGGCGTCGATCTCTTTAACGATTCGTTCGGCGATGATTCGGTTGTTAGCGGCGACGACTCTCCTGGACATCAGATCCACCTCGCCACCTGAAAACAGACCGATCAGACGTCTGAGACCGAACACGCCAAACCCCCCCCCAGGCCCTGAGTCCCTCCTATCATCGTCATGGTTACCGTCCACGTCCATCAGGACTCCTCCGGCCTCGGAGACGATCAGTGAACCTGCAGCGACGTCCCAAACATGGATCCCGATCTCATAGTACGCCTCAACGCAACCGGACGCCACCAGACACATGTTCACGGCCGCCGTTCCTGCTTCACGCACGCTGACGCACACACACACACACACACACACACACACACACACACATTCAGACAATATTTGTTAAACTTCAATATTTAGTTTCAGTTTTTCTAACGTCTCTGTTCTTGTTTTTGTCGTATTTTCAGTCGTTTTCCTGTTTTTTTTTTTTTTATTTGAGGTCAAAGTAAAACTTCATATCAATAATAAATATTTTTTTAATAAGTATTTTAAGTTTACTCCAGGTTTTATAAAAGTATGAGCACTTTTATTCAAATATTTTTGTCATACACTTTTAGAGTTGTCGCAGTATTTTGTCGCAGTATTTTGTCGCAGTATTTTGTCGCAGTATTCGAAGTGTTACCCGTGTACTGGGATGGTCAGGACGTTCTTCAGGCTCGCCATGATGTGGTCGACGGTTTCCGGCTCTCTGGACGATCCGAACTCTGTGGCGATCATCGATTGGCTGATGTCTATTAGAGAGGAGGAGTCAGTCATGAGCTTCTTTCTGATTGGATGTGAGGAAGATGACATCATGTAGGTATGTACTTTGGTCACTGTAATAAGTTATTGATCAGTGTTCAGATAATTGACCTTTCTGATCAGAAACCTGCAGAGGCTGACCGTTACAGAACGCTCCCCTCCCCCTCCTCGCCGTGAACATCTTATCCTCCAGACAGCTGTAGACCACGCCGAACTCCATCTACACAGTCCGCCTCACAATTACACACACATGTACGTACTTCTGTGTATTTATATAGACAGAGTAAAACAAGAGTCCGATATACTGCAGTCTGAACGTGTCAATATGGAACCAATAAGTTTTCATTGATCAACTCTGAACATGAAGAGAATAAACAGTGTTTAGTGTTATGACTGTATAAAGCTACAGTTTATATATGAGTGTGTGTGTGTCTGTGAGTGTGTGAGTGTGAGTGTGTGTGTGTGAGTGTGTGTGTCTGTGTGTGTGAGTGTGTGTGTGTGTGTGGAGGAGACTCGCCTGTTTGTTGACAGAGAATCCGATAGAAACGGCGACGAAAGGAAATCTGTGAAAAACCCGATAAAGATATTCAGACCCGGTCAGAGTGAGTCCGTCAGAACGATCAATAATCACACTAATTAAACTGAAAACGATGACAGTAATAATAATTATGTTTAATTACATTTAGAGACGAGTCAGAATGTCAAAGTTAATGTCAATATTTCTATTAATAATCACCTTTATTTGTGTTTGTGTGTGTTTGTGTGTGTTTTATTGTGTATTTGTGTGTTTTATTGTGTGTTTTATTGTGTGAACTGTCCCTTTAATCGTGTTTTTTTTTCTTTTCTCGTTTAGTCGGTGATGATGTCATCAGAGAAACTCACGCGTGAACGAAGTTGGTGGTCCCGTCGATCGGGTCGATGATCCAGGTGGGCTCGTCAGTCAGAACACACGGCTCACCTGCAGCGACAGACTCCTCCCCTATGAACCTGACACACACACACACACACACACACACACACACAGCTCTTTACCTGTGTGTGTGTGTGTGCGTGTGTGTGTGTTATTCATCAGACCCTCTTACCTGTGCGAGGGGAATTTCTCCTTCACTGATTGGATGATCAGCCTCTCCACTTTCTGGTCCGTCTGAGTTACCAGGTCAACAGACGAACTTTTCGTCATCACCTTCCTGTCAGCCTGCAGGGCCTCCCGCACCACCTGACCACAACACACACACAACACACACACACATGATCAGCACTTGAACCACACAGACACACACGCACGCACATACACACACTGACCTCTCCAGCCTTGCGTGCGGCGCTCACAGCGTGGTCCATGGCGTTCTGCCAGAGGTCTGCCATGTTGAAGGATCGGCGCCGTAAAAGGTCTGGAAACAGAGAGTGAGCGAGTTTTTTTAAATCCTTATTTAACCTCCGAACGGAGAAAAAGTCCGAGAACAGAATTTTTAAAAAATCACTGTAAAGAATAAAAATATCAGAGTACAGTCTAAAAAAACATGGTGAAGATAAATGATGATATTTTAGTATGAAAACATGTCAACAGATCAATATTGAAGTTTTATAAATGATCATACAAATATCATAGAATAGTGTGATACAAACGTCCTACTATAGTATGTAAACATAAAACTAAAGTATAATAAAAACTGAGAATGATAAAATGATCATCGATTAATAGAATTATGTGATAGTATAGTTTGAAAAAAATGTCACAATATAGTATGATAAAAACTTCATTATAAAGTATTAAAAATATAGTATAGTATGATAAAAATATGATAGTATAGTATGATAAAAATATGATAGTATAGTATGATAAAAATATGATAGTATAGTATGATAAAAATATGATAGTATAGTATGATAAAGATATGATAGTATAGTATGATAAAAATATGATAGTATAGTATGATAAAGATCATGGTAAAGTATGTTAATAAAATCCTGTTATAGTTTTATAAAAGGATCTCCTGCGACCTGGACGGCACTTTAGCCTCACAACATGAAGCTCCTGGGTTTGTGTCCCGGTTCGGTGATTAAAATAAAGTATGAAAAAAATGTTTCAGTTTAATTTGATTAAAAAAAAAAAAAAGTCATAGTATACCATGATAAACTTTTATATTTAAGTGTGAAAAAAGTGATAAAAATGTCATTCTAATATGAAACCATTTGAAATTTTTGTTCAGCAAAATATTATAGTATAGAATATTAAACAAATATGAGTATAGTATCATTAAAAAATATTCATATTAAACTATAATAAAAACTTTGAATTTCAGTATGACTGATGAAAATGTCAGTATATTATGATAGAATTTAACATTTCAGTATGAAAAACATGGAAATACATGTTATAGTATAATAAGAATGTAAAAGTTAAGTGTCTAAAAAATGTTATAGAATAGTATTATAATAAGTCGTAGTATTATATAGAACAATATGTCATAGTATAGGATGAAAAAAGTTTCACATTATAGGATGGAAATTTTCAAAAAGTATAGTATGATATAAAAGTCATATTAAGGTATGAAAAATTGATAAAAAAGTAAAAGTATAGTTGATAAAAATGTCATGGTATACCATGATAAGAATTTCAAATGTAAGCCTGACCAAAATGTCATTTTATAGTATGATAAATGTTCAAATTATACTTTCATAAAAATATCAAAGTTAACCATGTGAAAAAATGTCATAGTTTAGTATGTAATAGAAAAATGTATTGTCTTTTAAAAATGTCACAGAAAACTATAAAACTATTTAAAAATAGTCATAGTAAAGTAAGATAAAAAAATAATAATTTTAGTATAAAAATATCAAAGTATAGTTTGACAAAAATTTCATTAAATACTGATAAAAACTTTGTTAAATTGTTGATTAAGGTGAAAATGTCACATAAAAGTATGATCAAAATTTCTCATAGTTTACTGTAATATAAATAGTAAAAAAATTTGGTATTTCAAAAACGTCAAAGTAAAATATGATAAAATTAAAATAGTTTAGTATGACAGAAAATTTCCTCGTATACTGTGTTAAAAATGTGAAATTTTAGCATGAAATAAATTATAAAACATATCATAGTATAGTATAATAAAAAAGGTCATTGCATAGTATGACAAAAAAATCCAATTTTAGTATGTTAAAAAAACACTCATAGTATAGTAAGATAAAAATATTATAGTATGATAAAAAAAATAATTTTAGTATTAAAAATGTCCTCGTCAAGTATGACAGAAATGTCATTAAAGACTCTGATTAAAAAAAATTAAATTTGAGCATTAAAAATAATGATAATAATATCAAAGTACAGTATCATTAAAAATTCTCATAGTTTACTATTATAAAAATAATTCAAAATTTGGGTATGTTTAAAAAAAGCCATTGTATAGTATGATTAAACTATAATTGTATAGTATGATAAAAATGAAATAGTATAGTTTGGCAATAACAAAAAAAAGTATAGTATGATAAAGATTTCAATTTTAGTATTTCAAAAATGTCACTGTATACTATGTTAAAAAATTCATGGTTTATTATGATAAAAAATATCAGTTTACTCTGATAAAAATGTAAAAAACTATTTAAGTATACCATGAAATAAATGATACAGTATAGTATGACAAAAATTCAATTAGTTTGAAAAAAAGTCATATCTTAGTATGATAAAAAAAATGAAAAAACAATACAGTATAGTAAAAGATTTTCAAAGTATAGTATGATAAAATTATTTTATGATTAAAAATGTCATACTATACAATAATTCAAATTTCTGTATAAAAAATGTTACAGATAATAATGTAAAATTTACATTTTAGCAAAAAAAATCATAGTAAAGTATTATAAAAATATCAGTGTAGTATGATAAATGTCATAGTATAGTATGAAAAAATATATAAACGAATATGATAAAAAAAACTTCTGTTAAAAAAGTTAAGTGTTATAAAAATGTCATAGTATACTGTAATAATTATTTCAAGTATTAAGAATGAAAAAAAATTCCTAGTAAACTGTTAAATTTAAATTTTAGCAAAAAGAAAATATAGTAAAGTATGATTTAAAAAAGTCATCGTAAAGTTACGACAAAAAATGTCATAAAAAGCTTTGATAGAAATTTTTAAATTTGACTAAGTAAATATCAGTAAATATAAATATAATATACTATAAAAAACTCAAATGTTATTACGTTAATAAAATGATAAAAGTCTGTTGTGTATGGAGTCTATTTTCTGATTATATTCTGGAGCCTCTATTGTCTGTATTGTTTCTGTATGTGATATGTCTGTGTGCGTACGGTTCGAACACTCTGATCCTTGACTTGTTTTTGCAGGACTGTGCTGTGATTACATTGGAGTCTGTTTTTGTTTTGGGGATTAGGTGTTAATGAAAGAAAAATGTGCTTAATTTTTAATTTAAATATTTTCTAAAAATAAATAAAAATGGACCAATATCCACATGGGTGGCATGGGGGTGTAATGATTTACAGTGTCGCCTCACAGCAAGAAGGTCCTGGGTTCGAATCCTGGTCAGGTATAGTATGAATAAAAAAAAAGGTCACGGTAAAGTATGTGGAAAAAAAGTATCATAAGCCAAAAAAATGTCATTGTGAACTATTTGATTTGAATATCAAACTCAACTATGATTTGTGAAGTATGATAAGTGAAGTATGACGATAAAATGTCATGGTTTAATAAAAAAATTCAAATTTAGTATAAAAAAGGTCACAGTTTATTATGTTAAAAATGTAAAAGTACAGTATTATTAAAATGTCAAAGTATACTATGATAAAAAAATCAAATGTCAAGATGAAAAATAGATTTAAGTAAATTTATAGAATAGTATGTCAAAAAAAGTCATAGTATCATATGATAAAACTGTTACAGTATTATATTAAAAAAATGTCATACTATTTTAGAAGTTTTTCAAATTTAAGCATCAAAAAATTCATGGTAAACTGAGTTAAAATTCAAATTTGAACAAAAAGGCATTTATAGTGCAGTAGGATAAAAATATCACAGGAAGGTTTGATAAAAATGTTGAGGTGTAGTACGACGAAAAATGAAAAAAAATGAAATTTGCAAATTTGACCAACTGGAAAAACTGTAAAAGTATAATATAAATGTCAGATTTGAGTATAAACATGTCACAGTATAGTATATAAAATATCATAACATACTATGATAATAATTTCAAATTTTAGCATGAAAAAATAAAGTATGTTAAAAAATGTCACAGTTAAGTGTGTTCATAATTTAGATCTAAAAAAATTCACAGTGAAGTAAAAATGACAAATTTTAATTAAAAAAAACTCAAAGAATAGTTTTAAAAAAACGTCATTTATACTGTGATGAAAATATCAAAGTTAGGCACGAAAAAATAAAAACATAGGACACACACACACACACGTATATATATACGTGTGTGTGTGTGTGTGTGTGTGTGCTCTCAGACTCGGTTCCTCCATGAACACAAACTTCTCTGATACTCAGTCTGACAGACGAACAAACACACTAACAGCTGATAACAGCTGATAAAAGCACATTTAGAGGTTCTTCAGGTAAATCTCACCTGAACTCGAGACGCTGAAGCTGCTGCTGCTGCGGGTCACCGGCTCCTCCGCATTTCCGGGTTCGTTCTTCTTCTTCTACAGTGGAGTTTATCGGCGGTTAGCAGACCAACGCAAAGGTGCAATACCGCCACCTACTGGACTGGAGTGTGGAACAGGAAATTGGCAGACAAATAAAAAAATTACATTAAAATTAAAATCAGTCTGATGTCCCTCATTAATCATCTCCCTCATTAATCATGTCCCTCATTAGTCTCATGTCCCTCATTAGTCTCATGTCCCTCATTAATCATGTCCCTCATTAGTCTTATGTCCCTCATTAGTCTTATGTCCCTCATTAGTCTCATGTCCCTCATTAATCATGTCCCTCATTAGTCTTATGTCCCTCATTAGTCTCATGTCCCTCATTAGTCTCATGTCCCTCATTAATCATGTCCCTCATTAGTCTCATGTCCCTCATTAGTCTTATGTCCCTCATTAATCATGTCCCTCATTAATCATGTCCCTCATTAGTCTCATGTCCCTCATTAGTCTTATGTCCCTCATTAATCATGTCCCTCATTAGTCTCATGTCCCTCATTAGTCTTATGTCCCTCATTAATCATGTCCCTCATTAATCATGTCCCTCATTAGTCTCATGTCCCTCATTAGTCTTATGTCCCTCATTAGTCTCATGTCCCTCATTAGTCCGATGTCCCTCATTAATCATGTCCCTCATTAGTCTCATGTCCCTCATTAATCATGTCCCTCATTAGTCCGATGTCCCTCATTAGTCTTATGTCCCTCATTAGTCTCATGTCCCTCATTAATCATGTCTCTCATTAGTCCGATGTCCCTCATTAATCATGTCCCTCATTAGTCTCATGTCCCTCATTAGTCCGATGTCCCTCATTAGTCTTATGTCCCTCATTAGTCTCATGTCCCTCATTAGTCTTATGTCCCTCATTAGTCTCATGTCCCTCATTAATCATGTCCCTCATTAGTCTCATGTCCCTCATTAGTCTCATGTCCCTCATTAGTCTTATGTCCCTCATTAGTCTCATGTCCCTCATTAGTCTCATGTCCCTCATTAGTCTCATGTCCCTCATTAGTCTCATGTCCCTCATTAGTCTCATGTCCCTCATTAATCATGTCCCTCATTAGTCTCATGTCCCTCATTAATCATGTCCCTCATTAGTCTCATGTCCCTCATTAATCATGTCCCTCATTAGTCTCATGTCCCTCATTAATCATGTCCCTCATTAGTCTGATGTCCCTCATTAATCATGTCCCTCATTAGTCTTATGTCCCTCATTAGTCTCATGTCCCTCATTAGTCTCATGTCCCTCATTAGTCTCATGTCCCTCATTAATCATGTCCCTCATTAGTCTCATGTCCCTCATTAATCATGTCCCTCATTAATCATGTCCCTCATTAGTCTCATGTCCCTCATTAGTCTCATGTCCCTCATTAATCATGTCCCTCATTAGTCTTATGTCCCTCATTAGTCTCATGTCCCTCATTAGTCTCATGTCCCTCATTAGTCTCATGTCCCTCATTAGTCCCGTGAACCTTCAGGTTAAATTTGAGTTTTTGTTCTTCATCAAATCTTTGACGGAGCAAAATGCTAACGTTAGCTTAGCTTATGAAACTAAAATACATAATGCTAATGATACGAGGCTAACCGTCTGTTAGCTTAGCATGCTCATGTATGTATTCATTTGTATTTTGTAGCTCATGATAAGAAAATAAAACACTCAGTTCACGTCGTTTGTCTTTAGATATTTTATTGTCTTAAATTCTTGTCAGACTTCCTGGGAGTGACCTCCACACACTTCCTGTCGCCGACCTACACGCTGTTCACACCTGCTGCTCCACACACACACCTGCAGGGGGCCTCGTCGTCACGGCGACAGGGAAAGGCCTGAATCACCTGAGCGATGCTATTCGCCACAGACAGAGAGCTCGCCGCGATGACCCTCCTGGACATCATGTCGAACTCCGAGCCTGAGGACACACCCACCAATTAGAGAAGACCACGACCCCACAGGTGACCCCAGGTACCACATGACATCATCCATCAGATACAGACCGTTCGTATCCATGACAACACCTCCAGCTTCCTGGACAATAAGTGCTGACGCAGCAATGTCCCAGCAGTGCATCCCAATGTGGTAGTAGGCGTCGGCCCCGCCCGTCGCCACCTGACACATATCCACCGCCGCCGTGCCCAACGCACGGACACTGTAACACACAGACAACAAACAGGTGCATGACGAAGATACACAAAAACCACTACACACAAGAAAGTAAACACACAGAGATGAGAACACAACAGTCTGTAAACAGTCTGTCAACAGTCTGTTTTAATCAGAGACTGGATCTAAAATAGACGCTGTCTGTCTCCTCTCTCTGAGAACAGCGCCCTCTGGTGATGGGCTGCAGTATAGGTCATAAACCCCGCCTCCTTATGGAGCTGTGGACAAACTTTATAAATGAATGACACAGAATCTAAATGTTTCTCCCCCCTGGTTGTGATGTTGACATGTAGTTACTGTCAGACTGGTTTGTGCTCAAGTCCTCTTTTTTCTGTACAGCTCCATTTTTAAAAGTTATTAGGGGGTTCATGTTTTCTATGATTGACACTTGATACAGCCAATGGGAGGACAGGGATTGAGGAGATCACAGGGGGATACGCTGTTTGAGCCGAGCATCATCACAGAGACTCTCCTGAAACTCTTCAGATCTTTAAAGCGGAGGAACCGAGGAGTCGAGAGTAAAGATACAGTCTGTGGTTTTAACCCATAAAACAACCCGCTGATGTCTTCAGGGTCTGACATGACCTCTTTTTTTTTTTTGACCGATTACATGGAGACGAGAAAGTTTCCTGTTTGTCTGTGAATCATAAATGTTCGGAAACAAGCGAAGAAGAGATTCTGAGCAGGATGAGGTGGTCGTCCGTCTGCGCCCCGGAGAAACAACAACGAGTGTAAATATGTGGAGACAGACGATGATGTTCAGGTGAGGAAAGACTCGTCTCTGTTTTTCAACAAAGTTCTGTTGGATCAGTTTCTGTTGGACTTTGTTCTGAATCTGCCGTCACTTATTTTATTTTATTTACATCACTGAAGTCGAGGTCGTCCTGAAATAAGACGTGTTTAAAAGGATCGAGGAGAAACTTCAAAACTAAAAACAGGAAATCGAGCCGAGAGTCAAAGGGTTAAAAAACATCATAAACAGCTGATGGCGTGCTGATGGCGTGCTGACCCGTGAACAGGAAGTTGGAGCAGCCTGAAGATGTTGGAGGTCATGGTGGAAAGAGAGAGGTCATCCCGCTCCGCTCCGATCTCTGTCACAACCACACACCTGCTGATATCTGATTGGACGAGAGAGGACAGGTAAGAATAAACCACCGCTACACGTCACAGTGATGTCACAGTGATGTCACAGTGATGTCACAGCATGATGTCACAGCGATGTCACCTTCCTGTCCCGAGGCGTGCAGCGGCGCTCCGTTCAGGTACGCCCCCTGTCCTCTCAGGGCGTGAAAAAGTTTGTCCTCCACGCAGCTGTAAACGACGCCAAACTCCACCTGACCATAACAACAACAACATGACATCACTTCCTGTCCTGACATCCGACCTTGACCTTGGGCCTGACCTTAGCCCCTGTTGACCCCTGACCTTACCTGCTTGTTGACGGCGAAGGCGATGGAGACGGCCACAAAAGGAAACCTTGAAAGAAAAACGAAGATCAGCAGGTTGACCTGTCAGTGACATCACAGAGTGGGCGGAGCCTCTACCTGTGGACGAAGTTCACGGTCCCGTCGATGGGGTCGATGATCCAGGTGGGACTGTCAGTCAGCTCCAGAGGCTCACCTGCAGCCACAGACTCCTCCCCTATGAACCTGCGGGTCACAGTCAGGCGTCCAATCAGAATCGCTCGTTTAGACCGTCATCGAATCAGCCGATCAATGAATGAATCAATGAACAGATGAACGAATGAAATAAATCAATAAGTCATCAACGGGAGGGGGGGGCTCGGGTCAGAGGTCAGAGGAACCTGTGGGCGGGGTATTTGTTCCTGATGGCGGCGATGAGGATCCTCTCGACCCGCTGGTCGGTTTCTGTCACTAAATCAGCCGGAGAACTTTTCAACGCCACGTCCTTCTGCTGCTGGAACGCCGGGAGGACCACCTGAACAGACACACACACAGGGACGCACACAGACACACAGACACACACACACACACAGACACACACAGACACACACAGACACACACACAGACACACAGGGACACACAGACACACACAGACACACACATTAACGCACAGACACACACACAGACACACAGGGACACACAGAGACACACACATTAACACACAGAGACACACAGACACACAGAGACACACACACACACAGGGACACACAGAGACACACACATTAACACACAGAGACAGGGACACACACACAGACACACAGAGACACACACACACAGGGACACACACATTAACACACAGGGACACACACACGCACACATCAACGCACACAGACACACAGACACACATTAACACACAGGGACACAGAGACACACACACACACACACACACACACACACACACAGACACACACACACACACACATTAACACACAGAGACACACACACACACACACACACACACACACACACACACACAGACACACACACACACACACACACAAAC